CCTTCCTTTTTGGGCCCATTTCCTTCCTTTTTGGGCCCATTTCCTTCCTTTTTGGGCCCATTTCCTTCCTTTTTTGGGCCCATTTCCTTCCTTTTTGGGCCCATTTCCTACCTTTTTGGGCCCATTTCCTTCTCTTTTGGGCCCATTTCCTTCCTTTTTGGGCCCATTTCCTTCCTTTTTGGCCCCATTTCCTTCTTTTTTGGCCCCATTTCCTTCTTTTTTGGGCCCCATTTCCTTCTTTTTTGGGCCCATTTCCTTCTCTTTTGGCCCCATTTCCTTCTTTTTTGGGCCCATTTCCTTCTCTTTTGGGCCCATTTCCTTCTTTTTTGGGCCCATTTCCTTTCTTTTTGGGCCCCATTTCCTTCTTTTTTGGGCCCATTTCCTTCTCTTTTGGCCCCATTTCCTTCTTCTTTGGGCCCATTTCCTTCTCTTTCGGGCCCATTTCCCTCTTTTTTGGCCCTGTTTCTCTCCCTTTTGGGCCCATTTTTCACCCATTTCCCTCCCTTTTGGCCCCATTTCTCGGTTTTCACCCATTTTTCACTCATTTCCCTCAATTTTGGGCCCATTTTCCTCTTTTCACCTGTTTTTTACCCACTTCTCTCCCTTTTGGTCCCATTTCCCTCCCTTTTGGTCCCATTCCTCTCCCTTTTGGCCCATTTTTCACCCCTTTCCCTCCCTTTTGGCCCCGTTTCTCCCCGTTCCTGTGACGTTTTGCCCCTTTCTGTCCCTCAGACGACGCCGCCAGCAGCTCCTCCTCCAAGTTCTCTCTGTACGAAGGCTCCGAGGAGAGCGGGGCCGGCAGCAGCCGCTCCTCTTCCTCCTCCTCCTCCTCATCCTCGTCTTCCTCCTCTTCCTCCTCCTCTTCTTCCTCCTCCGAGGATGAAAGCGCTGCTGAGGAGCCCCCCGAGCCCCCCCGGGCTCCCACCCCCGAACCAGGTGAGTGCCCACGGACCCAGATCCCCCACATTTCCCCCAAACTGCCCCAAATCCCCCCTCATTTCCCATAAATGGCCACAAACTGCCCCGAATCCCCCCCATGTTTCCCATAAATGGCCACAAAT